GACCTACCAGGCGTCAGGGCAGCGGTCGGGGGATCGTCCATGAACAGAAGCTACACGAGCGTTGACGTAGAGACCAGCTGGATTTAATTTAGTCCATCTTTAAACCTTCAGCCGCAGATTTCTGGAAGTGAGAGCTGAAGCAGTGTGTGTGAGCTGACGTGGAGTCATCCATCCACCTGCAGCTGCTATGAAGTCCGAGTGGAGCAGACGAGGGAGGAGCAGCTGTTTCATGAGCCTCTGCAGATGTTTCAGCTGCATGAAGACTCCACAGGAGCTCTGTATGTGAAAACAAGACCGGGGAGTCCCTGCTCCAGCCCACCGTGGAAACTGCTTAACCTAACAGCTGGATGAAACAGCACAGCTGGAGGGAGTTCCTGCAGCACAGCTGGATGTTACGTGGCCCCGGCTCTCACACCGCGCTCCGCATCGCTGACAAACATATTAAAACATAAATGATGACGCTATGGTGTCACAGTCTGACCTAGAGACTCGTTGTAAAAACATCTGGCTGCACGCTTATGTGGTTATACACACTCTGACCCAGCAGCTGGAGCAAACAAAGCTTCTGCTGCTGGCACCAATATAAGAAAAGTGCTTCCTCAGGGACCCTGCAGGACTGAGCATCTCTCTCCTTCATTACTTCTGCTTGCCGGGTCGCGGGGGCAGCAGCCTCAGCAGAGAAGTCCAGACCTCCCTCTCCCCAGCCACCTCCCCCAGCTTGTCCGGGGGAATACCAAGGCGTTCCCAGGCCAGCCGAGAGATATAATCTCTCCAGCGGGTCCTGGGTCTGCCCCGGGGCCTCCTCCCGGTGGGACATGCCTGGAACACCTCACCCAGGAGATCCCTGAACCACCTCAACTGGTTCCTTTCGATATGGATGAGCAGCGGCTCTACGCTGAGCCCCTCCTCAACATGAGGCCCAGGTGAAGTCAGACACTGTCACCAACAGCATGATCCAGGTCAAAGGACCACAGAGCCTTCCTCTCCGCTCTCAGCTACTGAACTCCAGGTGACTGACGCTCTTCGTTAAATCGCTCATTCTGCCTCGTTTAGTTTCACACCAGAACCAAAACACGGCTCGGCGTCGGCCAGGTCAGCGCACACGCCATCATCATCCTCACCGTCCTCCCAAACCTGCTTCCCTGGATATCCGTCAGCCCTGTGCCTCAACAGGAAGTACAAAGCAACGCTTCACTTCCTTTTATGGCCCGCTGCTGTGGTCACCGACGCTTCTTTGAAAGATCGAGCTTGTGTTTACTGAGAGCCGCTCTGGCTGGTGTGACCCCGCGACGCCTCACAGGCTACGTCACGCACATTCCTTGGCATGAAGCAGACTGCCCCGCGGCGCTCCGATGATGCTGTCAAATCGTCTTAGTGACGGCCAGAATGATTAGAAACACCGGGTGGAGCGTTTTCACCAGGGGGGCTGGAAAGCAGCGAAGACCCGCCCCATGCCACAAGTACGGCAAAAACCGAGGCCTCGTATTTCCTGCTTAGGATTAGCTCGGACGTGTGTGCGTTTGTGTTCAACACGTCTACACTGCCGGCGTCATGACCCGCTCCTCCTACCTCCTCCTGTGCAGGGTGAGCGAAGGAGTGCATCCTAACCCAAAAGCCTTTCTCCCCTACGCACACAGGACGGTGCTGAAGCTGACAGCCAGTGACGATGCAACAAATCAAAAGATGCTGACTCACACCACCGCCGAAGTCCCAAAACAAAACGCGGTAAAGAAACCCTGAAATTATTCCCTGAGCAGGAAGTGTTACGGATCAAAGCTGCCCGACTTTCCCTGAATCCCAAAGAGCAGAAAAGAAAAGCTGCACAAACACTCGGAGACGAGAGGAGACGAACGGGTGGAGGAGGTGAAAGTGGAGAAAGAAGAGAAGCAGATGGTGGCGGATCAGTGATGGAGTGATATATGAGTGAAAGACAGGAAGTAACGGACGACAGGAGGAGCCAAGTGTGCGTCTGTGTGTGTGAAGTGAATCCATTTGCTGAGCTTATAAAGAGGCCACTGTGCTCCCTCCATCCTTTCCTCCTCGCTTCAACTCCTTCCTCCCTCTGTCCTTCCGTCTCCCAAACATTTCTGGTTTCCGCCTCAGCTGTGTGTGTGTGTGTGTGTGTGTGTGTGTGTGTGTGTGTGTGTGTGTGTGTGTGTGTGTGTGTGTGTGTGTGGCACTGCATGCAGCCTCTCTGCTGACGTGCATTCTCAATTAGACTCATGTAACATGCTGGCGGTCCTGCCCGGGCATCTGCCTTGGCAGCGATACACACTCTCCTTTAAACCCACAGCTGGCTCAGGCAGCAGCTGGGGGAGTGGCCATGACTGTGTGTGTGTGTGTGTGTGTGTGTGTGTGTGTGTGTGTGTGTGTGTGTGTGTGTGTGAGACTCACTGTGGCCGTCATGTTGTTGCTCTTCTCCATGATAGCAGCAGAGTATTTGTTGGAAGGCATGGCGGTGGCGCTGGATTCCCGTGTCTGTGCTGACTCCTTCTCAAACCTGCAGGACAAAAACGTGAGACAGTTTCCGTCAGCGTCACGTCTGCTCGGAATAACGCTCTTCTTCCTCGGGTCCTCGGGCAGCTGGACTTACAGCTGGAGTTCACTGAGACTTTACCAGAGGAGTTAGGGGTGGAGCAAGTCACCTACTGATCGTGAGGTTGGAGGTTTGATCCCCAGTCTGCGCTACTACGTGTGAATGTTAGATAGAAAAAAGCGTTTGTGTGAAACACATGGTTTTCAGCTTCAACCAGTTAAACCGCCTCTGAGGCGAGCTATTTTAGCCCCTCCCCCTGTCACAGGTAGTGCTGGGCTGCACAGGTGTGGGTCTATCTTTAGTTTTAATCCATCAGAGAGAGATCACACCTCCAGCGATCGAGTTAATTAAACGATCTCCTCACTCTTATTTTGAAATTCCATTCTGAAATACAACAAGCTCAAGTCTTCCCTCCAGGCCGAACCGGTCACCGGTTACCTCGTCGTCGTTCGGAGAGGATCTCAAACTCTCCGTCAGGTGGAGATACGTCCAGGTTCTGATAGGCTGAGAGAGACACGAAAACTAGCGGCTGCCTGACGGTGCAGGCGGAGTGCCTCGGCCTCTCTGGAGAGGCAGCCGACAGACTCGACAGGACGACCTAATCACTGCTTTAGGTTAAAGACAGAAAATAAGAAAGGATGTTTAACATAAAGCTGCGACCTACACGCCCATTCCACATCCTGGGCCTCTGCAGAGAGGATGCGCAGCTGAACAATCAACAATCGCCGCTGTGGCCTCGGATGAAATTCCTCGGATACTCCAGACTTCCTTCCTAACGCTGAAGTGCTGCTTTAATGACACAGCTGATGATGATCGTCAGTTTCACTCAGAGTTTGTTCGGAAGCGGAGCTCGAAATGTTCACGGCCGCGCTTCAGAGTGCGTTCGACGCAAACGGCGTGAAGAAGAAGGAGAAGTGCGTCGATGGGGCATTACTGCGGCTGAGCATGACGACAGAGGCAGAGCACAAACACGAATCTGTGAGAACAATCAGGAGGAAAGAAGAGCAAATAAAGTCACAGTGAGAACGGATCAAAGCATCGAAGGAAACGAACGACCGAACAGCACACGGAAGCTGGATGAGGGAGCAAAGGAAAGACAGAAGGAAGGAAAGAAGGAAGAAATGGATGAAACAGAAAATAATAGAAGCCAAAGTAAAGACGTGACACGATCGGACGCTCCCCGACCTGCCTGCGGGTTTTTTCTCCCTCTCCATTTCTGGGGTTGTTTATGGAAGTTGCTCCGGAAGTCAGGTGCTGAAGGGCATCTGAAGCTGTTTCCAGCTGTTTGCAATCATCAGAGCTGTTTAACAGCGGAGTCAGGTGACGTCAGCGCTAGAATATTTCGCCAAGCCCGATAGTTGTGACGTGAGAGCGGACAGACTGACTGCTTGCCTGCTGTGGGATTTCACGAGCGCGGGTCATTGCTGGGAACATCGCAGGACGTCGTAGCACCACAGGACAAACGCAGAGGAGAGCGGGCCTTTGTGATTGCTGCGCACAAACTTGGAACAGCCTGGTCATCGTCTCTCCAACACTCGACATTTTTGAAACACGTCGGAAACACATTTTTACTCTTTAGCTTTGAATTGTGACTGAGTTTCATTCTCTGTGTGTTTGTTCTACTTTTTACTGCATGCAGCACTTTAATCAATCTGTGTTGTTTTTAAATGTGCTTATAAATAAATTGATTGATTGATTGCATATTTGCATTGACTATTGGACTAATTTATCACTGCAAATAAAAGCACTGCCTGTTCTCCAAGAGTTCACACCTCGCTGCTCTGTGGGACTGATCTGACCCAAAAAAGCCTGAAAAAAGCAAACACACAAACCTATCAGTGTGTGTGTGTGTGTGTGTGTGTGTGTGTGTGTGTGTGTGTGTGTGTGTTAGGCACACACCATATGACTCTGCATTCTCCTGAGCCTCATGCTGGTCAACCTAAATACTCATTTTATTGTGTGTGTGTGTGTGTTTACACCACAGACGTGTGTGTAGGTTAGGATTTCAGCGAGGTTAAAGGTCAGTCTCTGGGTACTGAACGGTCGCAGGATGATTAAGGTGATCTTCTCTTTCTGCTCAGTTCCAGCTCGTCTCTTTTTGGACTACAGCAGCTTTGCATGATTCACAACTCAAAATAATCCTTCTTTAGGTGACACTGGACTTTGCTGCACAAAAGGATGGGCGCGCAATGGTAAAGCGGACACTGCATCCAGGACACAAACAAATGCATTATGCTTCAGCTCTGCACAGAATACATCCTAAAGGCTAAGCTAGCCAGACAGCATGCTAACGCTAAGCTAGCCACGAATGTAGCGTGAAAGCTGACCCCAGCTGTGAGAGTCGGGCTGTGTTTGTACCTGTCCGTGTTTTTAAAGTAGAATCATCATGGCGACTGCTTTAATGTCTCGTTGTGCCGTCGAATTTGTGTTCATACCTACATACTAAGATGCCGTCATTAGCACGTGTCGCTGTGTGTCACCTGTTAAATGGTGATTATGTGTTTCAGGTCGTTTAACTTCCGGCGAGTAGTGCAACAAACTGATTTCTCCTGAGTGTAATTAAGTAATGTACCGCATCACTTTGAAGAAAACGCCCCAACGCCAAGGGGAAACACCTCCAGCACACACAAACATTTGATCCACAGTAGTGCTGGGCGATATGGAAAAATATTTATCACGATGTGAATTATTTTATATCACGATAACGATATATATCACGATATACCGCAATGTTTCCACTTATTCTCTGAAAAGTGTGACAGATGTCATTGCTCACTTTTCTCCAACTTTATTTTGAAGGTTTAAAGGAACTGTCACAAATGAGAAACGTGCATTTTAGTGCAGCAATATAAACGCATCAAAGGAAAACAGCTGTGGCCTTCTTTATTTTCAAAATCATACATTTAAAATGAACTTTTTAAAGTGCACAACAGTTTCAAGGTTTTCTGCCCAAAATATTTGTTTTACTAACATGCATATCATATATGCTAGTAAAACTAATGTGTGTATGTATACTAGTACTACGTGCACGTATATACGCACATAATGTACTTTATGCACGGTAAATACGTAGCGACGGCAGACTCATACCTTGGGCTAACATGACTCCAGTGTGGTCATGTGGGAAGTCCGCAGTCTGTCAACAGCGAGCGCGGCGTCTTCGTTAATGAAGCGGATGGTTACGCTCATGCAGGGCTGCGTATCTCTGCTCGTCCACAGGTCAGCAGCCAAGGCTTAATGCACGACACTGCAAACATCCTGCTCTACTTTGGCCGCCATGCTTCGTATAAGCGAGGCAACTCGACTTTACTGAAGTGCTTACGACCGGGCATAACGTACCTCGGATCAAGGACTTTGACGAGGTCACGAAAGCCGTCCTTCTCAACTACATAAACAGGGCCATGCCTTTACAAATGCAACGCGAGACGGCGCCTGTGATTTGTTTATGGCGCTGGGACGTTTTCTCATACGGGCCTCGTGTGAAAGGCTGCTGCATCTTCAGCTGGTATAGTTTTTCTTTCCCAACTTGCTCCCGTCGTTCCACAGCTTGGTTTAGCTCGGGTTCTCTGGATTCTTCTTCGTGGGCCTTCTGTAGGTGATACAAGAGATTTGTTGTGTTGCCATCGGGCGCAGGAATAGTTTTATAGCATAGCTTACAAATGGGCGTCTTCTGCTCCGTGTTGGTGCTGTTGAACCCAACAAGTAACCAAATCACAGACGTACCCCGTTTTGGTAAAAGTGCTTCTTCTTGGGCTGCCTGTGCAGCCGTCTCTGCCTGGTGCATGTCCGGGCATGAAGCACGTAAAGCAGCACCATGTCGCAAAACCACAAGACGGCGTTTCTTCATTTTTTTTAATACTTTATTTTCTCTTGCATAAAGTTAGAGAATGCATAGTGACAAGACAACACTAATACATTTGCCACAGGCTATTTGATGATATATTTTATGTAATAGTTTATAAAATTAGGTTAGAAACGATAGAAGACAAATGGCACGATAGACACTTTTCTGTCGTCCACACGGTAGATATATGTGGTCATGTCGCCCAGCACTAATCCACAACATGCAGATTATGGAATCAAAATCACTCAATTCGTATAAATTCCCATCTCTACTCAGCAGACTTGTAATCGCTTCACAACAGCGAATGAAAGAGCGTTAAATGAGGTGAAGTTTCCTCATGTTGCAATAAACTGTGTGCACACTGGGGTCAAACTGAGTGTAGGAGCTACACAAACGCACATGCATCCTCTGTGCTGTGTGCACATTCGGGATCGTGCACTCTCACATGCTTTGAACCATAAAACAACCACCTGCATGACTCTGCCAGGTGCTTCCTGCACACTCAAACACATCAACTGTTTTCCATCATGAGGAGACTGGATCCACCAATGACTGTCGCTAAAATTCAGTGGCTGAAAATAAACAGGGGGGCGGTAGGCGAGGAAATCCACCGGCATGCCGCCATCGTGGAAGCTCTGAATTCAAGTGTTGGAGAGTGGATCAACAATCAGTCGATGCAAACAAGGACCCGCCTTTCAGGGCTGCGCTCAGGGGTCAAGGGTCATTTAAGTTTTTTTAGTTTGTTTTCTCGTTAACCAAGTGAGGTGACAGGTAGGATCTACAGCCCTGCTGCTCTGCTGAAAGCCCAACGTTCCTGTCAGCTGCACTGAAGCTTTCTTAGTTTCCTGTTCGAGTTTCCCGTCTCGGTGGACGGACACATCCTGTTAGTTTGGTCTGGAACGAAAGCACGAGCTAACTCAGTTTGTGGCCGCTCAAGCCTCACGCCTGCATGCACACCTGCAGACAAAAGATCCAAACAGGCCCTAAAAGCCTGTCTCTAAACTTCAGATCCAATGGTTTTATGCTAGAATCAGCTTTATCCCCAGGAGGAAGGAGGAAACCACAATGTGACTGTTGGGATAGATTTGTGGCCCCACAACGTGAGTAATTACGCCCACAC